GCCGAGCTGCTGGGTGTTGCCCGTCTCCCCCCGGCCGTGCAACCTGCCGACGCGTCCCTGCTTCCAGACTACTCGGCACGGGAGTTTTGCGCCTGGATTTAAGGCTGGGATGACATTTCCTCGCCTGCAGCAAGCAGGAGAGCGCCCGGCAGCCTTTACCTTGGGTGACATCGCTGATCCCGTACTTGAAGTCGTTGCTGCCGCAGGTCCACGTCATGTCCTCGAGGGTGAAGGACTGGTTCGAGCGCAGCATGATCACCTCAATGGCGCTGGATTTCAGCAGGGCGATCTGGTCCTCTGCCGCCAGGTTCCTGGGCAGGGGGAAGAGGGCGACGTAAGTCCTGCCCGGTGAGCAAAGGGACAGCCCACGCCGCCCACGCATCAACGTTCTCCATCGGTACCCCGGTCCCTTCGCTGGGGGCACCCCAGCTTCTCCCTCACCCCGGGTTTCTACGTAATTAAGCAGCAGGCATGTCTGCAGCTACGTTTACTGAGTGGCACCACCCAGCGCCCTGGGCCCCAGCCTGGAGTTAAACAGGACCCGCGGTCCTTCACAACCCAGGATGGGACCCGCTCGGCATGGCCTCGAGCGTCTTTCTTAGGAGCTCAAGCATTTTGCTGACAGAGTCTGGGTGAATCAGGGTAGAACAGGAGAGGTGCAACCCCACAGGAAGGAGGAGAGATGGAAAACGTGAAAGTAGGAACAGACCTGGGAAGGGAACAGAGCCTGAGGGGCAGCTGTGAAGATGAAACAGAGAAAAAAAACGATCTGGCTGTGAAGGGTAGGACGGGATTCCCAGGAGTGGAAAACCGCCGCGGACATCGGATCCGGGAGCAAACGTCTCACCTGAACCCCGGGATCATTTTGGCAAAGCCGATCACCTTCTGTATGCTGTAGCTGACCAGGTCGGCCAAGTGCGGGAGCATGGAGAGGTGGGAGAAGTCGATATTCATGGAGGAGCTCTCGTCGTTCTCCTCGGAGAGGACCAGGTTCGAAAACATCTGAGGCTCCACAGGCTCTGGAGGGAGGGAGACGGTCAGAGGGCACCTCGATTGTAGGCGAGACGTTAGGGACGAGGGGAACGCCGCCGGCCCGCGGCAGGAACGGCAGCCGCCCTGCCAGGGGGGGCTTGGCGTTGCGTTCAGCCAGCGGGACGTGAGGGACGGGGCCGGGAGAGCCGCCGTTCCCTGGCTGCCAACAGCACCGAGATTTTTGCACTGGGGCCTTTAACTCCTCTCCCCGTGCTGTGATCGAGTCTAACCGCAGCCAGAGCGGCGACGATGCAGCCCGGCGTTGGCGTTCACGCTCCCGTTGGCCGTCCTGGAGGGCTCAGACACACAAAGGTCTGCGGGGCCGCCATCCAGCCAAGCACTTAACGCTTTTTGCTCGCAAAAAGCTTTTGCAACGCCCCCCCCCCCCCCCCCAGGGGGGGCTTACAGTTAAAT